CAGAGGATTGGTTTAAGAAGGAAATATTTGAGTAGAGACTATAGCACAGAGCCTAGAACATGTATGCTGCCAGTAAACAGTATCTATAATGTAGTAGTAGTTAGGAAGGCAGATGTGAATCTGATCCTTATTCTTGTTTAAGTTATATGACTTGTTCAAGTTATTTATTTTCTCTGTATCTCAGTTTCCTAATCTACAAAATGGGAATAATCCCATAGAGTTTTTGTGAAGACTATATAACTGTTTATAAAGTAGTTAATAATAACAAACAATAATCTCTCAATAATTTAACTATTTTATTTTTATTGTTGCTAGCTATTAGAATAAACTTATATTATTGCTTAATAAACTAAATGTATATACTAATTCTGAGTTGCTTAACAGTATCAGGGATGATACTCATCATAGAGGTTATATTACTTTGGTTTTCCTGAATTTAGCTGTTCTGTTGTTGTTATTGTTATTAGGTCCAGTGTCTCTGACTCACAGAGAACCGATATACAGCAGAACAAAACACTGCCTAGTCCTGTGCCAGCTCCATGATCCCTGCTATATCTGAGCCCCTCTTTACAGCCAATGTGTCAATCAATCCAGCCAAGGACTTTCCTCTTTTTCGTCAACCCTCCACTTTAAGAAGCATGATATCCTTCTCCAGGAAAGCACCCTTCTTATAACATTACCAAAGTAAGTGAAACGAAGTCTGGCCATTTTTGCTTCCAAGGAGCATTCTGGCTGCACTTTTTCCAGGACAGGTTTGTTAGTACTTTCAGCAGTCCATGGCACTTTCAGCATTCTTTGCCAACACCACAATTCAGAAGCATCAACTCTTCTTCAGTCTTCCTTATTCATTGTCCAGCTCTCACATGCATATAAGGTGAATGAAAATACCATGGCTTGTGTCAGGCATACCTTTGTCTTCAAGGAGATATCTTTGCTCTTCAGCACTTGAAAGAGGTCCTTCACACCCATTTTCCCAGTGCTACACATCATCTGATATCTTGACTGCTGCTTCCATTGGTGTTGATTGTAGAACCAAGTAATATGAAGTCTTTGACAACTTCAATCTTTACTCCATTTATCATGATGCTGCTCATTGGTCAAGTTGTGAGGATTTCTGTTTACTTTATATTGAGGTGCAATCCATACTACAGACTGCAGTCTTCAATCTTCATCAGTAAGTGCTTCAAGTCATCCTCACTTTCCACAAAGTTGTGTTATCTGTGTATCTCAAGTTGTTAATGAGTCTTTCTCCAATCCTGATGCCACATTCTTCTTCATATAGCCCAGCTTCTCGGATTATTTGTTCAGCATAGAGGTTGAATAAGTATGGTGAAAGGACACAACCGTGACACACTCCCTTCTTGATTTTAAACCATGCAGTATCCCCTTGTTCTGTTAGAAGGACAGCCTCCTGGTCTCTGTACAGGCTCATGAGTACAATTAAATGCTCTGGAACTCCCATTCTTCTTAATGTCATCCATAATTTGCTATGATTCACACAATTGAATGCTTTTGCAGAGTCAATAAAACACAAGTAAATATCTTTCTGATATTCTTTGCTTTGACCAAGATTCATCTGACATCAGCAATAATATCCCTTGTTACATGTCCTCTTCTGAATCCAGCTTACATATCTGGAAGTTAGCTTCAGTAAGATTTTACTTGCATGAGATATTAATGATATTGTTCAATAATTTCCACATTCTGTGGGATCACCTTTCTTTGCAAAGGGTACAAATATGGATCTCTTCCAGTCAGTTGGCCAGGAAGCTGTCTTCTAAATCTCTTGGCATAGCTGAGTGAGTGCCTCCAGTGCAGCATCTATTTATTGAAACATCTCAATGGGGATTCTGTCAATTCCTGCAACCTTGTTTTTCACCACTTCCCTCAGGGCAGCTTCGAATTCTCCTTCAATACCATTGGTTCTTGATCATATGCCACCTCCTGAAATGGAAGAACACCGACCAATTCTGTGTATTCCTTCCATCTTCTTTTGATGTTTCCCGCATCAGTCAATATTTTGCCCATAGAATCTTTCAATATTGCAACTTGTGATAGTTAAGGTTGTGTGTCAACTTGGCTGGGCCTGGCTCAGTGGCTGGGCAGCTGGATGTAGTATTCCCCATGATGAGACTGGTAGTCAACTCCATGGTGGAATCTACTGTGAGAAGCTGAGTAGCTTAGGAATGTGGTCTGCTTCCTGTATATAAGGAGAAGCCTTGGGTAATGGTCTCTGGCTTATGCCATGTTTGAACCCTGAATGTAGCCATGTCATGCTCTGCTGACCTTGGAACTTGAATAGACTCGAATTAATGGCCTGCCATATGGTTTGGTAACATCAGAACTATGCCTTTTTCCTTGTCAACCTTGGGCTTATCAGCCTCAGCAGCCAGCAGCTGTCTGAGTGAAAAAAAAAGCCTCTAGCTTCAGTGGGTCAGGAGCAGGAGGCAGAACTGAAGCCCAAGGCTGAGGGGCTTTCACCCAGGCCCTACAGCCTGGCACTTTGAACTCAGACTTAAAGCCTCCAAACTGGAAGAGAATAAACTCCTGTTTTTCAAGCATCCCATTGGTAGTATATTCCTATGAGAGTGGCCAAAACACAACTCAAAGCTTACATTTTTTCTTCAGTTCTTTCAGCTTGAGAAATGCTGAGTATGTTCTTCCCTTTTGGTTTTCTCACTCCAGGTCTTTGCACATTTCATTATAATAACTGACTTTGTCTTCTTGAGCTGCTCTTTGAAATTTTCTGTTCAGCTCTTTTATCTTGTCATTCCTTCCTTCTGCTTTAGGTACTCTTTGCTCCAGGGTAACTTTCAAAGTCTCTTCTGACATCCATTTTGGTCTTTCTTCCTTTCCTATCTTTTTAATGACATTTTACTTTCTTCATGAATGATATTCTTGATGTCATCCCCCAATTCCTCTGGTTTTCAGTCACTGGTGTTCAATGCATTAAATCTATTCTTTAGATGGTCTCCAAATTCAAGAGGGATATATTCAAAATCAAATTTTGGCTCTCATGGACTTGTTTTAATTGTCTTCAACTTCAACTTGCATACGAACCCTTGATGATCTGTTCCACAATCAGCTCCTGGACCTGTTTTAGCTGAAGATATTGAGCTTTTCCATCACATTTTGCCACAGATGTAGTCAATCTGATTCCTGTGTACTCCATCTGGCGAAGTCCATGTGTATAGACGATGTTTGTGTTGGTGAAAAAAATGTACTTGCAATGAATAAATCACTGGTCTTGCAAAGTTCTATCATGTGATCTCCAGCGTTATTTCTATAACCAAGGCCAAATTTTCCAACTACCTTTGATTCTTCTTCATTTCCAACTTTTGCATTCCAATCACCAGTCATAATCGGCACATCTTGATTGCATGTTCAGTTAATTTCAGGCTGCAGAAGTTGGTAAAAATCTTTAATTCCCTCGTCTTTGGCATTGGTGATTGCTGTGTAAATTTGAATACTAGTAGTATTAACTGGCCTTCCTTGTAGGCGTATGGATATTATCCTATTACCAACAGCATTTTTCTTCAGGATAGATCTTGAAATATTTCTTCATGACAATGAATGCCACGCCATTCCCCTCCAACTTGTCATTCCCAGCATAATAGATCATATGGTTGTCTGATTCAAAATGGCCAAAAACAGTCCATTTCAGCTCACTAATGCCTGGGATATCAATCTTTATGCGTTCCATTTCATTTTTGACAACCTCCAATTTCCCTACGTCATACTTCGTACATTACATGTTCTGATTATTAATGGATGTTTGCAGCTGTTTCTTCTCATTTTGAGTCATGCCACATCAGCAAATAGAGATCCCAAAAGCTCTACTTTATCCGTATCAAGGTCAGTTCTACTCTGTTAAGGCAGCTCTTTCCCAGTAGTATTCTGAGTGCCTTCCAACCTGAGGGGCTCATCTTTTGGCATTATATCAGACAGTGTTTCAGGGCTATTCATAATGTTGTCCAGTAATACATCAGACAGTGTTTCACTCCTATGCCAAAAGCTTGCCCTGGCCAATTCTTTGAGAAGTAGATGGCCTCTTCCCTCTTCCAAGTCTGTCTCAGTCTGGAAGCTCCACTGAAACCTGTCCACCTTGGGCAATCCTGCTGGCATTTAAAACACTGGTGGCACAGCCTCCAGCCTCACAGCAACATGCAAGCCACCACAGTAGACAAACTGACAGACAAGTCTGTCTCCCTTAGCTGTTCCAAAACCACTCCGCCCACTTCCTGGCCTTCCTCCTACCTGTTCTGGCTGTGTGCCCTGGGTCCTGCTTCCTTCTGCCCTCATTACCTGTATCTGGCCATCTGTCCTCACTTCCTACTTCCTCCTCCCTGGGTGGGGGCTCTCTCCCCGCCCCTTAGTTAGTTGTTCTATTCCAGTGTATACAACCCAGTGGAAAATCTGCAGTAACATAATCATAAACTAAAATTCCATTCTACTTTACAGTTAACATTTCCCAAAAGTATTACAGTCCTATATTCAAAAACAAAATATTCAAAAATGACAACTACTATATTGTAACTTCTCTTTTCCCTTCTAAATACCCACAAATATATGGGGAAAACAGACTCTTAACCAAACCTTCCTCCCCTTACACACACTTATATAAGAACTACATATATTCAGACTCAAACTTTCCAATATCCAAAAGATACCTAGTTTCAATCTCAGAAGGACTAAAACAAAAAAGGGAATTGAACTAAAGGGAGGGGGAATCAAGAAAAATAAAAGGAATAAATGTGAAAATTGCTACTGGAGAATACACCACTCTGTTTTTAAGCAAAGTAAAGCCTACTTGTATATTTTTAATACCTGTGCAGACATGCTTATGATTGATGTCTCATAACCATCTTTCATTCCACCCTTATCAGCTCTTATAAAATTTCACATTTTAGACTCTAATCCCCATTCAGTAGATATAGATCGTTTCCTCAAAGAATCACACATAGAAGAATTAGACCCTTATGCAAGGAATGCTCTCCTACCTTAACAGCTTCTCCAAGAGTTTGGTTTTTGTCAGCTTCCTCACTGGAGTGCAATTCAAGCCTATAATTCAACTCCTGTAGTTGTTGTGCCTGCTCATTCAGAAGCATCTGTGCCTGCTGTTCTCGAAGTAACGCATTATTCAATTCTTCACAGGCACTTTCAAACTTCTCATGGGTGATCAATTTCTGAAAAGAAGGAAAAGGAAATTATTCAGTTATAAGCTAACTGCATTGTTGTGTTATTTAATCCTCAGCATTATATTTGCTAATATAAAGAACATAACACAAACATTCCTAAGTGTCTGGTACATGACAAAAAAATACAATTTGTTTTTGTTCATTTCTTATGTCAAGATCCTATCTCCACCATTTTTGCCACTATTCATACTATCATATCAACCTGTTTTATTTTCTTTACAGCCATTACTATTATCTATATTCACCTTACACAGTTGTTCACTTTTTTATTATCTGTCTGCACCCTCTTGTCAACCACATACATAAAAGGGACCTCATTTAGTTTGTTCACCCAATACACACAAGAGAGCCAGGAACTCAGTAGGTTCTCAGGAGATCCTGGCTGCATAAAAGAATTCATATATAAAATCTGCCAGTAACACTGCACCATAATATACAATATGGCCTTTACAATATTATGACTGCTTTGGAGAGGAGAGCACCATGCTCTGAAATAACTAATGATAGTTCTAGGTTGGGGGCTATCCCTTAAGGAGTGTGGAATACAAGGCAAGGCACATTTGCATTATCTCCTGTTCAAAACATTGAAACAAATGCAAATTAATTACAACAAACCCTGAGCAACTTCTTGATCTCGAAAGAAGAGTAAGAAGAATGTTTCAAAAAAGGTAGGTAACTTGAGAAATATACATGAAAAGATAAAGGAAAACCACACAGTTGCTTCACCATGCTAACAGTACATTTATCTATTTAGGATTTATAATGTTCCCATTTCTAAGAAGAATTTAAGGTAGATTAATGCAATTAACAAGGAGATCTGGTAGCACAGTGCCTAAGGCATCTGACTTTTAACCAGAAGGTTGGTGGTTCAAACCCACCAGACACTCTGCAGAAGCAACATTGGGCAATCTACTTCCATAAAGATTTACCACCTCTGAAACTCAATGGGGTCACTATGAGTCGTAATCAACTCGATAGCAGTGGTTTTGTTTTTTTGTTTTTTTAATGCAATTAACTACAAATATAAGGCAACTTGATTTTTAAGGAACCTAAGGGTGAAAGAGTCGAACAAAATCCTATTGATTCTCAGCATCTGAAATGTGTAAAATTACTGCAGTTGTATATAGACTTTATCTCTGAGTTTTCTGACAATTCAGATAAAAATAGAAATGTGCTGAATGATAGCTTCCTCAAGGTCAGTAATAGCAAGCATGTAAGTTCATCTAGAGAGAAAGACTTTTGCTGGAATAAGGTGGAGGAAATATTTATTACACAAGTCTTTCTAGAATATGTATAATATGTAAGTAGTCAGTTTTATTTTGGCCTCAGATACCTTGCCTGCTACCTCTCTGAAACAATTGTTATTTTTTACTATTGCTTGCCTTTTAAGGGTACACATCACTATTTCTCAACACTGATGAAATTTTAAAAGGCAACAGTATAGGATGCAATGTTGTTGTTGTTATGTGCCGTCGAGTCGGCCCCGACTCATAGCGACCCCTCCTTGGGTTTCCGAGGCATTATCGCTACAGAAGCAATATAGCGACCCCTCCTTGGGTTTCCGAGGCATTATCGCTACAGAAGCAATATAGCGACCCCTCCTTGGGTTTCCGAGGCATTATCGCTACAGAAGTAGGATTGCCCAACCTTCCTTCTGAGGAGTGGCTGGTGCGTTTGAACCACTAGCCTTCTGGTTAGCAGTCAAGTGCCTTAGGCACTATGCTACCAGAGCTCCCATAGGATGCAATAGATACGCCTAATGGTTCTTGTCAGGCCCGGCGCCTGTGAGGCAGGTAAAAGATTGAGCAGGAAGAAGTTACAAACAGGCCAACCTGGATGCAGCTTCCACCTGATTGGTTCCCGCCTTATTTTGAACCAGCACAGGTCCTCCCCACATCCCTTAATGACTATGCTAATGAGGTGTTTTCACCTGATTGGTTCCCGCCTTTTTCCCTCAGCCCTCACTCAGGTCCACTATGCAACTATATAAACCTCTCCCCCCTGTCCGGGCGGCTCGACTTCTCTGGCCCCCCTTTCTCTGGGACCTGTGAACCTGGCCCGGGAGCGCATAATAAAACTTTTCTTTATTCCGCTCTTCATGCCTCCTCTCTTCTCCGCCACGACCTTACAGTTTTCTTAATATAAAGTAATGAGAATGACCATAAGGCACACATAAAAGTTGCCTCATTTCCTAAAAGTCACCTAGTAAAGATGTATCTAATACATCACCAACGAGCTCTGGTAGCATAGTGCCCAAGGCACTTGACTGCTAACCAGAAGGCTGGCGGTTCAAACCCACCAGCCACTCCTCGGAAGGAAGGTTGGGCAATCTACTTCCATAGTGATACTGCCTTGGAAACCCAAGGAGGGGTCAGGCTCAACGGCACATAACAACAACATTTGTATAGTGTTCAGATTTTGCAGACCACTCTCTTGCACTCCCTATTAATAGATGCCTAACTCTCAACATGGTCTGTTTAAAAACTAACCCCTCCACTTCTACAACAGCAGCTGTAACAGGCTCCTTTCAGCTCTCAAGCACCATTTCTATCTCTTAACATCCCTCTATTCCCTGACACCACAGTATTTTTCTGGGTCTTGGGAACACGATATTTTTGTATGTCTTCTATCTTTCACTTGTGTGATTTTTAATTGCCACCAGACCATTCTGCTCTTTGCAATCCACTGGACCCCTATAGTCAAGATCCCCATCATTTTACAGAACTTCTCTTATTTTAACAATTTGTGAACCTTTCTCAGCCCTCTAAAATTTCTCCTTTACCTGAAAATGTAGCTAATTTTAGATTAAGACAGTGACACCCTGCCTACTGCACTAAGTAGGCACTTGCTAATTTTAGAACAAGAGGTAATATGCATAAGCATTTATGAGGAGCTCTTAAACCATTGTGATAAGAAAGTGAGCATTAAAGAAAAGCTCTCAAAAGGTGAATATGGTATTCCAGACCAATAAAAGAACTGGGTAGCTTTTGGCCAGCAGGATATTTCCTTTAATGCTGTAATTTTAGACCAACTAGCCAGGATTGTGAGGATGGCACAGGACCGGGCAGTGTTTCTTTCTGTTGTACACAGGATTGCTTGCTATGAGTCCAAGCCAACTCGACAGCACTTAACAACAACAGAAAGAAACTGTTTTATTTTCTACTACACATTTTATTTGAAACCAGTGAAAGATGAACAGTTGCAGGCTGGCTCTCCAATTTTTTTAAGAGAAAAATAGTGTCCTTTTTTCAATCTGTTATTTTTTAATAATCCTTTATTAACACTAAACTCAAAAACAAACTCACTGCCATCAAATCAATTCCAACTCACAGCGATCCTCAGTGGGTTTCCAAGGCTGTAAATCTTTATGGAGGCAGACTCCCTCATCTGTCTTCTGTGGAGCGGCTGGTGGTTCAAACCACCAACCTTTTGGGTAGCAGACAAATGCCTTAACCCCCACACCACCAGAATTCTTTTATTAATACAGCTACACATTAACTGCTATGCTGAAGTGATTAAAAATATAAGTTTTGAAGCCAAACCACTTCGGTTGAAATCCTATCATTTCTACTTATTAACTGTGCAACTTCAGGCAAGTTACTTAGCTGCTCTGTGTCTCAATTCCTCATCTGTTAAATAAGAATAATAATTAAGCCTATAAAGTGCTTATGGTCTGTGCCTGATACATAGTTAATATGGTCAATAAATGTTAGAAATCATCAGTTATCATTAGAACCTATAATCATGCCAAAATACAAAAATTAAGTATCTCATTCCCTCAATTTTTAAATCAACTAATGCTAATTTTATTTCTACATTTCAATGAAAGTAATTCACAGTAAACATTTCCCAGAATATATTCTTAGCTTTTGCTGTAAGCCAGTTATTCAAACAAAGCCCTTGTTGTTGTTAGGTGCCATCGAGTCGTTTCAAACACATAGTGACCCCATGCACAGCAGAACAAAATACTGCCCAATCCTGCACCAGCTCCATGATCCCTGCTATACATGAGCCCATCATCGCAGCCACCGTGTCCATCCATCTCATTGAAGGCCTCCCCCTCTTTC